CTTGTGGCAGTGGTCTTTCTCTTTTTCTTGTAATAAAACAATCGTTTTTCGTTCGTAATAATAAAACATTTCATTTGGCATTCTATATCTCTTATCCCATGCAAGTAGCATAGATATAGTCCTAACGAGTTACTCTATTACTGTGAGTTGATCTAGTAGAATCGTGAGATAACTCAGCAATGTAATGTAACTGTAAACCTTGTTCCTAGTCAATGGGTTACGCCAATAATGAGGATACCGGCCTTTCCCTTTTGAGACTAGCACTTAGTGTATGTGTACTGCGTCTCATCAATCATTGATGTTGTGACATCGACATACTTGAGTGGGTGCTCATACTAGATGAGTTCACTGAACTCCCTCGCCCTAGAAATCTATAAGTGGTTCTCATTCATCGAGTAATAGGTTTCTAAGATATAGTTGTACACCATTAGTCCTTAAGACCCAGACATCACCGTGACTTCACTAGAGGACCGATTGTATCGTGACCTGTCCCTGAGTCCCACAGCGGACCACTCCAAGGGCCAACGTTCGTGCAATCCGAAATCTAGTGTGAAGTCTGTGCATTGTAGTAGGGGATTCGAGCGCTTGAGTAGTCATGGATGTCCTGTGTGTTCTGATGGTTTATAATCCAAGGAATCTCTGACCAGAGTTGATAGTGGGGTGATTAGGGAAATGTGTTTCCCTAAGTCACACACGAACGGATTTATAATACCTAGAACGTTCGCACGGTTATTGAACTTTATAACAGGTCTCGGTGAACCAATGCCTCTAGTTCAATCGGGACATGTGTTGCGAAGGGATCGAACTATACGCTAACTATATCATAATGTTCTTGCAGGCACGTCACTTGTATCTAGGGAATCATGATGCGTAGTTGCTAGACGCCAATCTTGATTCGTTGGGCACCGATTTGATCGGCGATTAAGTAAAATGAGTTTTACTCTAATCGGGACTCTTGGGAGGAGTTCGTATAAGAACAATGTGTTGTTCGAATCACAAAGAGTTGTGAGCCCACGGCTAGCATACACCTGAACCATTGAGGGTCACACTTCTCGTGTAATAGGGATCCTTGATAACAATGAGCATAGGTTAATATGTTAATCTTTGCAAAGTTGGAGGTCAATATGATTGAGTCCAAGATTATTGATTGTGGATTACGAGTCGGAATGAACGAAGAGAAAGAGAGACATGCGGAATTTAGTGAACTTTCTAAATTGGGAAGTTTCCCGATTTAACAGGTCCACTGAAGTGGAAGTTTCCATTTTTGGAAATTGGAAATTTCGAAGAGGCACTCGTATCAACGAGGACTTTGAGCTCGTCACAAATATAATTTTGTTATAATTTTGTGAACGATCGTTTGTTACAAACGAGGCCGACGAGGGAATGGGCTTAATGCATCAGTGGGTCAAGCCCAATGACTTAAACCCACAAGAGTTGAGAACCCTAGTATAAATAGACCTCAAACAAGAGTTTGAGATCAGATTTTTTTTACTCCAAAACCCTAGCCGTCAAACCCTAGCCGCCCAAGCCTCTCGGTCGCCGCTGCCCCGCCGCACCGGCGCCGTCTGCCGCCGGAAACCGCCAGTTTTCCCTCTTCTTTCTCTCTTGTATTTCCCTTGTTATCTAACCCCTTTGTATCTAGTGCTACAGTAGGGGGAGATCGGTTTATTCGAGGTGAAACCTGATTGGAGAGGAGCTGCTGCCCCGAAGGAATCACCACACCGCCGTTGCACCGCCGCACGCGCCGCTGCACCGCCCACGCGCCGCCGCCGCTGACTCGCACGCGCCGCCGTCGCCTCACCGTCGGACCAGCTGTCGTTTGGTGGTATTCTTGCAGCCCCTAGGAGTGGTATAACGCAGCTTGTACGGGTTTGAGTTCGATTTCGATTCGTCGAAATCTCACGCTACAAGAGGTAATTAAATCGAAACTTTCGTAAATTTAATTCGAACATGTTTGTATGAATTTTAATTTACGAGCATGTGCGATATGTAATTACGTGTTTCGATTTTTGCAATATGATGAACAAGCATGTTTTATATTTTCGGTTTTACAGGTTTTTAGTAAAATCGATAATTACAATATGTATGGCGGAAGCGTTAAGGTACGTTGACTATGTGATTAGTTTATGCATGTAATTGAAACTAGTTCGATCTAAAAAATTTAAATTCCGCTGCGTATACATGCAAGATCCCCAACAGGTTCCACCTTTGATTCCTTCTTTAGGATAGTCCAGGATTTAATATCCGATGTATTGATATTGGGAATCGACACATGGTTGGCGTGGTTCGTATCATTTGGTACTTAGAGCCATCTTCCTAACAAGGTTTTGCCTATCATTTTTCTTTATTGTTTAGTCTGTCGTGTCCGTGTTTGTTTGTTCATTGTTGTTCTTTTATCGAGTCTTCTACTTTATCTTTTCTTCTCCTTTGTATTGTTTATTTAGAGTCCATAAAACAAATAAAAATCAAAATTTATATTTGCTTGAAGTTTCTTAGAGTCTAAGTAAGGTTTTGTCTACAGTCCATGAAAAAAAAGAAAAAAATAAAAGAATCGAATTTTATTATTGTTTAGATTTCCTTCCAGCCCAAGTTAGGGTTTGTTAGTGTCAAAAAAAATTGTTTTGATCATGTCCGAGAAGTCCGGTTTATAAAGGAGAAAGATTTGAGTGGCGTAGGATGTCGGCAATGGAGGAACGCTTCCAACCCTTATTTACAGCACTTGAGGGAATCCACGGTCGATTGGAAGGACTTGAAGCCCAAATATATGAACCACACAAATATCAACATGTTTGAGGGCCATACGTACGACGTGCTGTTCTTCAACCAGTTATAACTCATCGTGATAAAGTGGTAGATCATGATGGAAATTTTGGTGTGATTTCTACAAAATCAAGCAGGGAGAGTTGATATTGGAAACATCGAGCCAATGATATTTTGGTCGAGAAACAGATGGCATAGATCGAAACCTTAGCTCAATGAAGTTGACTATACCATCCTTTCAAGGTAAGAGTTATCACGAGACGTTAATTCAATGGGAAAGAAAGTTTGAGCTCATATTCTAGTGTCATTACTATTCCAAAAAGAATAAGGTGAAGCTCGTCGTCTAAGCGTTCATTGACTATGAAATTACTTGGTGGGACCAATTTTTCTTAACTAGGAGATTTTCAACGATTCAAACGAGAGAACCATTACGAAATCCCAAAGTGGAGGAAATTCTAAGAGACAAATGAGACTACGAGAAATTGAAGAGAAAGGGTGATTCTTTATCGCCACTTGAAAAGAAAGATACTCGTCAAGCTTTTGAGAAAGTGAACACTCAAACAAATTTGGGAGTTATTGATGGGCTAGTTGAGGAAGAAGTAAGTGAGAATGTAGAGATCGAGTCCAAGGGGGAAGAAAATTGTAAACCCGCGCCACCAATTGAAGAAAAAGAAGGTTCGGATTCGGGGGCGAATCCTTTTGAAGAGGTGGAGGATGATATGATCCAGCCATGCATCAAAGTTACTCTCGAGCTAACCGGTGCAAACTCCAATTGTGTCTGTTGATCAAGATGGTGATGCAATACACGAAGATTATCTTGCTCCTACTCATTGCCATGAAGGTGTATCTTCGAGTTTGATTATTGATGGAGTTGATTGTACTAAGGTGACTATCGATACTCCGGTGGGAAAGTTGAGTGTATAAAGTTTGGAATATTCTAGACCATATGAGCTTCAATAGTTTGAAGATGATCGTGAAAGATGGCTTCTATATGCTCCTATATATATTTGTCCGGATTCTAGGACGAGTCCTTATAAAGAGGGAGAGTATGATACGATCTTGTCAAGCTCCAAGATGAAGAATTGGAAGAAGCGAAAGTGTGCGAGTTTAAAGATCTATTCATGTTGTAGTTGGAGAATACAGGCTTAAGTCAGACTGTTGAAGAGTTGAACGTCCAAGTTGGAAGAAAAGGAAAAGGGAAATTTGTTGGCCAAGTTGAAATTTCATGCATCCCGAATGGCCCATATGATTCTGCTAGAGTTTACTATTCGGCTTATACCTCTCTCATCTGAAATCCATTTAAGATGATTCAAAATGCAGTGTAAAGCCAACAGACATATCTACGACTTAAATGTTTTGAGAAGTGAGAAATTCGAAGTGTGACAGTGTCCTCATCGAACTTGAATTGCATGCACGTGCACAGCCAAATGTCTACGCGGGTTTAGAAGGGTGATCGAGAAGTCGACTTGAAGATCAAGTTATCTAATTTATTGATGCACGTTTTTAATTTACGATTTGTTATGTTTTTATTATTTTAAAGTTCTTTATGGTTAGAATTAGCTTAATTAGATGATTCCTTATTAGAGCAACTCCAATCCTAAACATCAAAATTGAATTTCAAATACTCATTTGATAATTAGGATAATATTTTAATATTCATTTACGGTTTATCTAATCCAACCATGATTATCAAAATTAATAATCAATTGGATGTTTTTTCATGGTTTTATTTGTAATTTCCACGTTTCATTTTGTGATTGGATGTTTAGGTTATTATTTTTATGATAACTCAATCTCTAAGATGTATTTTTACATACAAAGAGGTAGAATATCAAAATACTTACCCATTTCGATACTCCCGTTGGAGTAAAAAAAATTACTTTTGGGATATCAAAAAGGTGGTTCACCGGTTTAATAATCCATTTGATACTCCCATTGGATTTGTTCTTATAGTTTAGGTAGGAGTCATTTTTCATTTTGAAAAGGGAGTCTGTTTAGATCTTATAAATAGGTTGCTAATTTGGCTTCTTTAAAGGGACAAATTTTGATACTTACATTGAGATTATTCTCTCTTCGCTTCTTTAAGAACCATTTTCTATTTTTATCGGAGTTTCTCCGTGGCGTTCGCCCCTGACTTATCAATCAATCTTTCACAATTGATTGTGGCGTCTTCGCATACCAAGGTTCTTGCCTTTTTATAGACAACGGGTCGTGGTTCCACCTGTGATTCCTTCTTTAGGATGGTCCAGGATTTGATATCCGAAGTATTGATATCGAGTATCGTCACATTGTGGGAGAGGTTCGTATCAAGTAATATTGCTTAGCTCGAAGCTAATGAAAAAAGGAAAGTAAGAATTCTTAGCACAAGCTAATTACATAAGGAGAGGACGAATGCTTAGCTCGAAGCAACTGCCAAAAGGAATGAAAGAATGCTTAGCACAAAAAATTTCCAGAGGTAGAGGAATAAAGCTTAGCTCGAAGCTAATTCCAAAAGGAAAGTAAGAATGCTTACCACAAGCTAATTTCATGAGGAGAGGAATAATTCTTAGTTCGAAGCTAATGGCAAACGGAATGTAATAATGCTTAGCTGGAAGCTATTACCAAAAGGAAAGTAAAAATGCTGAACAAAAGCTAATTCCATAAGGAGAGGAAGAATGCTTAGCTCAAAGCTAATACCAAAAAGAATGTAAGAATGCTTAGCTAAAAGCTAATACCAAAAGGAAAGTAAGAATGCTTACCACAACCTAATTCCATAAGAAGAGGAATAATGCTTAACTCGAAGCTAATGCCAAAAGGAAAGTAAGAATGCTTAGCACAAGCTAATTCCATAAGGAGAGGAATAATGCTTAACTCGAAGCTAATGCCAAAAGGATGGTAAGAATGCTTAGCACAAACTAATTCCACGAGGAAAGGAACAATACTTATCTCAAAGCGAATGCCAAATGGAATATAATAATGATTAGCTCGAAGCTAATGTCAAAAGAAATGTGAGAATGGTTAGTTCAAAGCTACTGCCAGATGGAAAATAAGAATGCTTAGCACAAAATAATTCCATAAGGATTGGAAGAATTCTTAGCTTGAAGCTAATGCCAAAAGAAAAGTAACAATGCTTAGCACAAGCTAATTCCATAAGGAGAGGAACAATGCTTAGCTCAAAGCTAATGCCAAAATGAAAGTCATAATGCTTAGCTCGAAGCTAATGCCATAAGGAAAGTAAGAATGCTTGGCTAAAGCTAATTCCATAAGAAGAGGAAGAATGCTTAGCTCGAAACTAATGAAAAAATTATAAGTAAGATTGCTTAGCACAAGATAATTGCATAAGGAGAGGAACAATGCTTAGCTCGAAGATAATGCCAAAAGTAAAGTAAGAATGCTTAGCATAAGTTGATTCCATAATGAGAGGAATAATGCTTAGCTCGAACCTAATGCCAAAAAGAAAGTAAGAATTCTTAGCACAAACTAACTCCATAAAGAGAGGAACAATGCTTAACTCAAAGCTAAAGCGAAAAGGAAAATAATATTGCTTAGCTCAAAGCTAATGCTAAAAGGAAAGCAAGAACTTTTAGCTCAAGATAATGCCAAAAGGAAAGTAAGTATGCTTAGTAAAAGCTAATTCCACAAGGAGAAGAAGAATGCTAACCTAGAAGCTAATGCTAGCTAATTCCATAAGGAGAGGAACAATGCTTAGCTCAAAGCTAATGCCAAAAGGAAAGTAATAATACTTAGTTGGAAGCTAATGCCAAAAGGAAAGTAAGAATGCTTGGCAAACGCTAATTCCATAGGAAGACGAAGAATGCTTAGCTCGAAGCTAATGTCAAAAGTAAAAGTAAGATTACTTAGCACAAGATAATTCCATAAAGAGAGGGACAACGCTTAGCTCGAAGCTAATGTCAAAAGGAAAGTAAGAATGCTTAGCATAAGCTAATTCCATAAGAAGTAGTTCGAAGCTAATGCCAAAAGGAAAGTAAGACTTCTTGGGAAAAATTGATTCAATAAGAAGAGGAAGAATGCTTAGCTTGAAGCTAATACCAAAAGGAAACTAAGAATTCCTAGTACAAGCTAAACCCATAAGTAGAGGAATAATGCTTAGCTCGATGCTAATGCCAAAAGAAAAGTAAGAATGCTTAGCTTGAAGCTAATGCCAAAAGGAAAGTAATAATTCTAAGAAAAATCTAATTCCATAAGGAGATGAAAAATGCTTAGCTCAAAGTTAATGCCAAAAATAAAGTACGAATGGTTTGCTTAAAGCTAATGCCAAAAGGAAAGTAAGAATGCTTAACATAAGCTGATTCTATTAGTGCCAAAAGGAAAGTAAGAATGCTAAGCACAAGCTAATTCCATAAGGAGAGGAATAATGCTTAGCTCGAAGTAGCGAATGCCAAAAGGAAAGTAAGAATACTTAACACAAGCTAATTCCACAAGTAGAGGAACAATGTTGAGCTCAAAGCTAATGCCAAGTGGAATGTAACAGTACTAGAAAATTAGCTTTTAATAGCATTTAGTTATAGCTATTTTACATTAAATGCTATATTTGATTCTAAAGTCTTGTATAATTAATAAAAGTAAAAAAACAAGCGCTATAGAATCGAGCATACCTATTTTTATTTCAACTGACCCACAAAGTAAAAATGTCCTTAGTCTAGAATATATCCCAACTCCTTTCTAACCATCGTCTTTACCAGGCTCGCCAGAACTAAATCTCTTCGGAGTGGATTTGTCCACAACTGAATCTTGCAAATTCTCTCTAAATTCATTCGTTGACGGTATTTCTCACTTTCGTTTCTCTTAGTTTCAAAATTTTGTCCTAATTTCACATTTTTTTCCTTTTCTAGGCGAGCCCTAATTTCAGTGCTCTGCTACAAAGACTTAAAATTGGTGATGGAGATTAGGGAGATAGAAGCCGTTCTTACGCAGATTGATGTGGCATGTCGTATTCTCCTCCCGCAATCCTCCGGTCAGAAACTCCCCATTCATTTTGTAAACCTATCTCCTCTTTGTTTCAATTCATTTTATATTAGATTTATATTTCTTTATTCCAGTTTTGAAAATTTTAATCCAATTTCTTTATGGTTTATCTTTTCTCATGGGCCCCCATATGGATTTATGGATTTGCATACTTGGTGAAAGATTCATTTTTATTTCTCCCATTTTTTACTGGGGATGGAACTGAGGTTGGGGATACCACTGATGAAACATTAGTAGTGTATACTTAACGTAATTCAATTCTATGTAGGAATTAGAGGATCTTGAAAAATGAATTATTAGCCGATATATCAATTTTAATTCATGGCTAACTTGAATTATTTTAATTACTTGGTCATCTTCCTTGAGACTTTTTTTTAAAATGCATCTATTCTTGTAGATAAATTATTGATTGCCTTTGGCAAAATCAAATAATATTGTCACCTCTTTATCAATTAACAGAGTGTAGCAAATCTACAGCTATCTTTTTTTTTCCCTTTTTTTCCTGCTTGCATTCTTTTATTAGCTACAAGTTTGCTTATATTTATGCATAGGCAGTGATGCTAGGAAATCAAAGAAAGGGGCGACAAAAGAAAATGACGAGGATTTACAATGTATAAATCCTATGGTTTCCATATTTCTCCAGGCATCTTTTTATCATTATCTATATTTTTAATTATCTTGTGCTATTTTTTTGCTTGTTTTTTTCTCTAAGCTTCAACAGAATATTGAAACTTAAATAGGAGAGCTTGATGATAGTGAAAGACGAGTTTTATTGAACGGTTTTGCAACCTTCCAAGGTTAGGCTTTGAGAGAGAATATGAATATATCACAAATGGGATTTTGAAATGAATTTATACGATAGTAACTCATTTTATTCATTTTATATTTATACTCCATTATCTTCAATTTAGCATGTTTCAGTAACTAGGATTTTCATTTATTTGTATTTATAACATGAAATTTTATTTTGGTGCAGGTTATTTTTGTAAGATAGAGAACGCATTTTTGACATCTTCTATATATATTCAATTCATATTGAAGACCTTTGAATTTTTTATTATATATATGCATGTTAATGACTTTCAATTTGATCTTGTGTCTATTTGAAGAATAACTTGTTAGTTTCTATATCATTTGTTGTCATCATGAAGTTCCATTTCTCCTTATTATATAGTAATTATGTAGTACGTTGGTACAATGTTTGATCTGGATCAGATTGTTGGTTTCGAACAATGCTACAAAATTAGTTTCATCTAGATTTCTAGCTAGCTATTGGAGATAATTTTAGATTTGATTTTCATTTGCATGAATACCTTTACTGAAATCATTTCTTAGAATATATGATTCGAGTTTTAACTTTGAATCTTTTGGTTTAATTTCTATTATTGTAGGTCATATGGCTAGATGATGTTGATTCTGATATCATGGCACATGAGGTAAGAAAGTTTCCCCGCCTTATTCATGTTCTGCAGATTTTCTAAGAACAACTTGTGCTTTTTGACATCACTGGAAATTCTATTCGCATTTATTCTTGCTGAATTTGATACTTATTACTGTTGAGTTGTCATTGAACCTAGAATCTATGTCTTTTTAGTTTTAGTTTTGTTCGTTACGCCCAAACATGGAAATTGATAACTCGTCTCTTCTAATTACAAATATTTTGACAGGTGTACTGATGTTCCTATAATGTTTCGCATTTTTTGGGTAATCTTTGTCACGTCGACCACAATTGACAACTGAAGCGATAAGATTTCAGTGAAGATGGGATGATTAAAGCGGTGAAAAGTGCTAGCTTTGTTCGGTAGAGTCTATCCTTTTTTAATCTGAAAGTATATTTTTTTACTTGGTATGTACAATATTGAAATACTTTCAGCCTTAGATATGTAAACTAGGTTGAAATATTAATTACGGTTGTTCATCATACTTTATATCAGCTTCATTTATAATAAAATTTTGTTTTTGTATTTATTTTTATTTACATCTTGTCGAAAAACATTATTTGATATATTGCAGCAATAAGCAAAAGTTACAAAAGATCACATACTGTTTATGATAAGAAATTATTGGTAGAAATATAGCAATTGAAGTGCTATGAGTAAATTTCAAAATATAACTAAAATAAAAATGCTATAAAATAATAAAACATAACGAGAATGAAATGCTATAAGATCATAGTATAATGGAAACAATAAAACGCTATGAAATGATACATAACAGCATGGTCAAAACTATTAGAGTAGGTGACCATCAAGCCAACATGTGGCTGTGGTCTTTCGTATTTATTATTGTAATAAACGAACCTTTATTCGTATTAATGATAAAACAATTTGGCATTCTATATCTTTGTCTCTTTGTCACAAGCATAGATATAGTCCTTACAGTTATTACAAGTACGAGTAAATGATCGTTAGGATCGTGAGATATTTACTTTAGTATTATAACTGTTAAACGTGTTCCTAGTCGAAGGGTTACGCCACCAATGAGGATATCGGCCTTTCCCATTAAGAGACTAGCACTTAGTGTATGTGTACTGCATCTCATCAGTAAACGGTATTGTGATATCGGCATGCATAAGTGGGTGCTCGTAAGTTGACGAGTTCACTGAACTCCCTCACCCTAGAAATCTCTAAGTGGTTCCCAATAATCGAGTAGAGATATCTATGGTATAGTTGTACACCATTAGTCCTTATGACCTAGACATCACCGTGACTTCACTAGAGGACCAGCTGTATCGTGACCTGTCCCTGAGTTCCACCAAGGACCATCCTAAGGGCCAGTGTTCGTGCAGTCCGAAATCTAGTGGGAGGTCTGTGCATTGTAGTCGGGGATTCGATCGCTAGAATAGTCTTGGATGTCCTGTGTGTTCTGATAGTTTGTAATCATTCTAAGTCTCTGGCCAGAGCTGACTAAGTGATGATTAGAGAATTCGATTCTCTAAGTCATGCACGTAACGATTACAACACTTAGATCGATCGCACCGTCATTGAACATATAAAGAGGTCTCGACGAACCAATGCCTCTAGTTCAATCGGGACATATGTATCGAAGGGACCCTACTGTACGTTAACTATATCTGAAGGTTCTTGCAGGCACTTCATTTGTATCTAGGGAATCATGACGCGTAGTTGCTAGACGCCAATCTTGATTCGTTGGGTGATTAAGGTGAAACGAGCTTCATCTTAATCGTAACTCTAAGGGACGAGTTTTGACCACAAAGGGTTGTGGGCCCACGGCTAGCTTACACCTGAACCATCGAGGGTCACACTGCTCGTGCACATGAGATCTTTGAATAAACGGTCAGAGATAAAATGGTTTATCTTTGCATGATTGGAAGTCAATATGATTGGGTCCAACATTCGTAATTTGGAATTACGAATGAGAATAAGAAAAGGAAAAGAATAGGCGAACATCTTAGTGGACTTTCTAAATCGGGAAGATTCCAAATTTAGAAAGTGCACTGAACTAGGGTTTCCACTTTTGGAAAGTTGGAAATTGAGAGTTGGCACTCTTAATGACGAGGACTTTATAATGATTCCGAAAATTTAATCATTGCAATTTTTCGGTCATTGAATTGAGAGCGACGACCAAGTAAAAGTACTAACGAACTTAAGCTGTTGGGCCCGGTCTAACTTAAGCCTGCTAGGGTTTTATGCAAGACACTATAAATACAAGATTTATAGGTCTTACACACACACAACACAAAACCCTAACCCTAGCCGCTCACACTCTCTCTCACTCGGCCCTCTCTCCTCGGCCATCGCCCCCCCGTCGCCGGAAAGTCGCCGGAATCGGCCATCCGTTGGCCGATCCCTTTCGGTACTCTTTTCCCTCTTTCTTTTCTTCCGTTATTTCTAACTATTACGTGTCTAGTGCCACGTGTTTAGTAGATCGAAGTATACGAGGTGAAATCCGAGAGAAGGAAGATCGAAGATCGAAGAATCGAGGAGCAGCACACGAGCCGAAGCCGCACGCCACCCCACGCGCCGCCCGAAGACCGCGCGTGAGTTACACGCGCCGCCGTGGCCGTCACGCCGCTGCTGCCGCTCCACCGCTGCTGCCCCGGATTGTACGAATTGGTTTCCGTAGCAATCTCGTCTTGCTAAGTGCGCCTACCTCACGCTTCAAGAGGTAAACTCACGATTCATTGTTCTTGATTCGTATACGTTTAAATTAAATATGTATGTTCGTTCTTGTATGATTTTATGTGAATGCATGAAATTGATTTATATGTTATGAGCATGTTATTTGATTTAAACGCGAGCATGCTAATTGATTTAAATTCGGTTAAATAATTGAGCATGTATGTCGTTTTTAATTTTGCTGGAAGCGCAAAGGTACGCAATTAATTGTTATAATTATCGGGCATGTGTTTATGTGTTTTAAAGTTGTTTAAATCGCATAAAACTTTTGTTTTTCGCTGTGTACACGTGTCCGAAACCCAACAAAAACGCTATCAAAAGAATATATTTTATAGCATTTTGTAAACGCTATAAAATATTTTTATACAATAGCGTTTTACAAAACGCTATAGAAAAGCTGGGGGGGTCTATTATAGCTCCGGCAGACATAGCGTTTTAAAAAACCCTATGATAGCTTACGTAAGAGTTTTTCAAACGCTATGGATGATGTTTTATGGTGTAGTGTAATAATTCTTAGCTCGAAGCTAATGTCAAAAGGAAAGTAAGAATGCTCAATTCCAAGCTAATGCCAAAAGGAAAGTAAGAATACTTAGCACCAACTAATTCCATAAGGAGACGAAGAATGCTTAGCTCAAAGCTAATGCCAAAAGGAAAGTAAGAATGCTTAGCAAAAGCTAAGTCGATAAGGAGAGGAACAATTCTTAGCTAAATTCTAATGCCAAAAGGAAAGTAATAATGTTTAGCTCAAAGCTAATGCCAAAATGAAAGTAAGAATTTTTGGCAAAAGCTAATTCCATAAGAAGAGGAAGAATGCTTAGCTCGAAGCTAATGCCAAAAGTAAAGTTAAGATTGCTTAGCACAAGATAATTCCATAAGGAGAGGAACAATGCTTAGATCAAAGCTAATTCCAAAAGGAAAATAAAAATGCTTAGCACAAGCTAATTCCATAAGGAGAGAAATAATTCTTAGCTCGAAGCTAATGCCAAAAAGAAAGAAAGAATGCTTAGCACAAGCTAATTCCATAAGGAGATGAACAATGCTTAGCTCAAAGCTAATTCCAAAAGAAAAGTAATAATTCCTAGCTCAAAGCTTTTGCAAAAGGAAAAGTAAGAATGTGATGTTGTATGACTCATCCTGGGTGGATAGAACGGGAACAAGAGGGTAGGTCACTGCACGCGACTAGGTGATCTTGGTCAGAGTCCCTTCCACATAAAGATGAACACCTGATTCTCAAACCTGGAATACTAAGACACGTGAACTAAGTCGGGGTTTGATCAGGTGGAAACTCCTCTGGCGCTCAAGTTAGATAGAGGCTTAGGCAAGCAAATAGGTAGGTAGCACAATACAGTTCTAGGAATTAGAACTAGAGAATTTAACGTACCTTGTAAAATGAGGTAGATGGTTTATTTATAGTGTAATTAGTAGAATCCCTATTAGAGTAGAACTCTAAGTAGGATTAGTAAACCCTAATGGGATTGTAAGATCTTGTGGAATTGGGTCATTAGTTAATCACCTTGTACATGGATCGGGTCGTAAATGGCCCACATGCTAATTGTCTTATGGGTCGGTCCAATAAGGTTACCATTAAGCCCCACTGTTGATCGAGTCTTGAGTAACTAGAGTTGTTTGGGAACGCTCGAGGGTTGGTCGTAGCGTTGAGGTGGAGGGCGTGGAGCAGCGGCGCTGATGGCACTGCAGCCGCGTCTCTTGGGAGAGGGGTGCTTGCGGCGCTAGAGTCGCGTTGCTAGGGGAGGGTTGCTGGCGGTGTTAGAGTAGGTGACCAACAAGCCAACTTGTGGCTGTGGGCTTACCATTTATTCTTGTACTAAATAATCATTATTCGTATTAATGATAAAACACCTTGGCATTCTATATCATTATCCCTTGTTTCAAACATAGATATAGTCCTTACAGTAATTACAAGTACTAGTAATTGATCTTCAGGATCGTGAGATATTTACTTAAGTATTATAACGGTTAAACATGTTCCTAGTCGAAGTGTTACGCCACCAATGAGGATATCGGCCTTTCCCATTAAGAGACTAGCACTAAGTGTATGTGTAGAGCATCTCATCAGTAAACGGTATTGTGATATCGGGATGCATAAGTGGGTGCTCGTAAGTTGACGAGTTCACTGAACTCCCTCACCCTAGGAATCTCTAAGTGGTTCTCAATAATCGAGTAGAGATATCTATGGTATAGTTGTACACCATTAGTCCTTATGACCTAGACATCACCGTGACTTCACTAGAGGACCAGCTGCATCGTGACAAGTCCCTTAGTTCCACCGAGGACCA